AAAGAGCTCATATTCAAGAGAGAAAGTACATCATCATAATAGCAAAAGGTAAGAAATAAACTCAGTTCATCAATGGGAATGGGTAAATTATGGTCCACACAATGAAATACTATGTAGCCTTAAAAAGAATAGGGCAACAGGTTACAAATTAAGGAAAGATTGTCAAATATCTGTAAGTGGGAAAAATGCAAGGTGCAGAATGATGTATAAAGGGGAAAATATATTTCTATTATATGTGTGTGTGTGTGTGTAGTTTCCATTTGTGGAAACATTCTCATTTTCTTATACATGTATAGAATTTTCAGCAAAGATATAGGACACCTATGTAGAAGGGAACAGGGTTAGTGGGGTTTAGGTGTGGAAGGAAGACCTACTTTAACCAGATCATGAAGATGTATTATCTATTTAAAAAAAAAAAAGAAAGGAAGAAGATACACCTGAAACATGTATGTGTGTGTGGAGAAAAGAATTTTAGGGGGACTATAATGGCATAGTACAGCCCATTATCTTATATTGATATAAATGTTTATCTATCTTTCCTGTGAAAACCCTCCACCTAGTAAAGAATTGCATTCCTGAAATTTCTACCAATTATAGATTTGTGTACTAGATTGTAGAGAAGAAATACTTTTATAATTTCCTAACAGTATCTCAACAGGTTATGTATAATGTAGAAGTGAAAAATACTTCAAGATTAGTAACATCAAGGTTAGCAGTTGAAAATAATGACCTAAATAAGAGAATAAGCCCCATGAATAAGTATTTTGTTTTTGGTGGCACCTATCCCCTCTTTTTGGCAAAAAAGTCAATTTAGATGTTTTACTGTGTCATCCTAATTTTGGGGATGACGTATTTGGTTTTCTCGCTAGCACCATATTCTAGGGCACAATATTTTTATTCTGGTAAGTTTCCGACATTTTGTGACTTAACTAGTTGGATGCAGTTGGCATGTTTATATATACAACACTGTTTAATTCTGTATAGAGCTTTGCTGATAAGAGCATTAAAAAACTGATAACTGGTTAAAAAATACTGAAACAAAAAATATTTTAAAAGGTTGGCAAATAATAAGACAGGAAATGTTTAAACTACTGTTAGGGGATGCCTAGGTGGCTCAGTTGGTTAAGCATCTGCTTGCTTCACTCTCTGCCTGCCGTGAGTGCTCATGCTCTCACACTCTCTTTCTCTCAAATAAATATCTTTTTAAAAATTACTGTTAAGGGGCACCTGGGTGGCTCAGTGGGTTAAGCCGCTGCCTTCGGCTCAGGTCATGATCCCAGGTCCTGGGTTCGAGCCCCACATCGGGCTTTCTGCTCAGCAGGGAGCCTGCTTCCTCCTCTCTCTCTGCCTGCCTCTCTGCTTACTTGTGATTTCTCTCTGTCAAATAAATAAATAAAATCTTTAAAAAAAAAAAATTACTGTTAATATGTTCTCAGTCATTCACATTTGCAGAAAACTACTCTGAGTTGAGAAATAAAATATTCTTTTTAATATGCTAATAGAAACATACTACCTATGGAGACACAATATATATGACATTCATTCATTCATTCAGTAAATATTTATTGACACCTTCTGTGTGCCAGATACTATTTTAGGCATCGGAGATACTACAGGGAACAAAACAATGCCTTCCCTTCTAGAGTTTTTTCACAAAAACAATTCATAACATTGACAATGGGTTTAATCAGAATAACAAGCATTACTAACAACTTCTCAAAAGTTATGAATTCACAATGCAGAGGTTTTTTGAGATAGACTATTTCAATTTTAAAAAATATATTCATTAGGAAAAGCGTAGGAAAAATATGTTATTCATTAGGAAAAGAGTAGATTGAGTTTCTTATTTTGATAAATATTTTAGAGATTATCGCATCTGGAGACACATCTGTCAAGATCATCTCAGTAAGCCTTTTGTGTTTACTCTAAAATAGAATGGGACACTGTCACTGGGATATCAAGATATGTAAAAAATAGAGTCTCATTTTAGAAAGGGAGGCAGGCAAATGCAGTATGAAGAAAACAGGGATATATTAGATGCACCACAGGCAAATTAAAAACTCTTGCCTGCTTTAGAAAAGAAAAAAACTTCAACATTTTCATACAGATACCACTTAACTCTTAACTTCTTAACTGAACTGACTTGTCAGTGTTAATTTAAATTATAAGAAAATAATGGCAGAAGCTTGTCTTGGGCAAATGATGCTGAAAACCTATCAAATCATACATACCTATCAATCCATCTCATATATAAACATGAATTATCACAATGATACAGTAAGGTCTGTCAGTCCTTCTCCTACTTCTGTTATGTTTATTTTAGCTTCTCTCCATCATCCATGGTTTTATTTTGGATAAGGCACTAAATAGCTTATCCTTTTTTTTTTTAAGATTTTATTTATTTATTTGACAAACAAGAGATCACAAGTAGGCAGAGAGAGAGGAGGAAGCAGGCTCCCCGCTGAGCAGAGAGCCGGATGCTGGGCTTGATCCCAGAACCCTGGGACCATGACCTGAGCTGAAGGCAGAGGCTTTAACCCACTGAGCCACCCAGGCGCCCCTAAATAGCTTATTCTTGAACCTCAATAATTTTACCTTATAAGTGATTGGAAGATGTTCCTAAAAAGATTTTCTAAAAAGGAGATCTAATGTTGAAATTTACTCTTGAATTTAATATACAAATCACAATTACAAAGAGTTCTTAGGTTATGGTAAAGTTGGAATTAATTTGGGGTGCTTCCAAAATATATCTGAAATCAGGAGCCTGAAATGACATAAAATGGTCAAAGGAAAGCAGCTAGAGCAGTAATACATGTTTTAGAGAATCATAAGATATTTCAAATTTATCTTCTATACTGCTTACAACTGACAAACTTCAGTTTTGCTTTGTAAGTTTTTGTATTGGTTCTCTATCACAAATAATAGAAATGGTCATCACCAGAAACATTGCTGAGATAACGAAAGACTTGCTTAGAGCACTCTAAACCTCCCATATTCTACTTTATTTTTCCTCTGTGCTGGGGGAGTTGACTCCTTACCAGCAAGTTTAGCAATGTAGAAGAGCTACTATGTGAGAATTTTTTAAAAAATAAATTTAGGAAATTTTATCACCTTCCTGGAGCCAAAGAACCCATGAAAGAGAAATGTGGTATCAAACTTAGTGTTTCAAACAAAGTTCAAGAAATAGAGTTGACATGAGAATACATTACTAAAAATACTTAAGATTTCTGGACTACCAATGACCTAGTAAAAGCCATAATTACTCACTAGCTTTGCCACAGACCTACACTTCAAGAATTTTTAGGCCTTCTATCAGACCTATTAGTGGTGAAAGTTTATGTAAAAATTTCACCAAAAAACTCATTATGTCATAAATATTAAGCTTAGGAAATGTCTTAATATTTACCTAAACTATGAGATAGATCCAACCACAAAAATCTTTTAATGGAAAGAAAGTTAACACCTTACATGGTAAATGGGAAGTAAGTATTAAGCATGGCACAGAGTAAAAGAGCAACAACATGCAGCAAAATAAATAGGATTTTGCTCCCCGAACTAAAATGTGCCTAAGATTTGTCTCATTACACAGAAATTTTATGTAGGCAGCATTCTGTACCTTCACATTTCATACCAACACCTCAAATCCAGAAATAATTATATTATTTTTTTAAAAGATTTTATTTACTTATTTGAGAGAGAGAGAGAGAGAGAGAGTGAGAGAGAGCACAAGCAGGGGGAGCAGCAGAAGGAAAGGGAGAAACAGGCTCCCTGAGCAGGGAGCGTGGTGAGGCTGGATCCCAGGACCCTGAGATCACGACCTGAGCCCAAGGCAGACACTTAACTGACTGAGCCACCCAGGTCCCCCAGAGATCATTATTTTAAAGTGCTTTTTATTCTTAACAGTTGAGTAAAACACACCCAAAACCAAGTGTTTCTATTTCATATTACTTTCCACTACTTCACACTCCAGCAAGAATCTGAATTTCTTTGGGTTCCCAAGTTGGAAGCCAAACAGGAGAGGTTTGCTTACTCTCCTTGTAGTAAGACACCCCCAAGAAGTCTGGCTGCAATGAGCTTCTACGAATTTTTTTTTTTTTTTAAGATTTTATTTATTTATTTGACAGAGATCACAAGTAGGCAGAGAGGCAGGCAGAGAGAGAGAGGGGGAAGCAGGCTCCCTGCTGAGCAGAGAGCCCAATGTGGGGCTTGATCCCAGGACCCTGGGATCATGACCTGAGCCGGAAGCAGAGGCTTTAACCCACTAAGCCACCCAGGCGCCCCTCCACAAATTCTTTTAAGATGAGGACTGGGATTGTGCTTTATACTGATCTTTATACTCCCCCACAATGCTGGACATTTAATGGTCTCAACTGAACTGAAAAATTTGGAACACTGTAGTCTCACTGAATAGGCACTTGGAAAAACAAGTATTATAGTAGATTCAAAGATGGATGACACTTTATGTAAAAAGAGTCTGAAGGAACTGATTCAAGCTAAAGACTACAGGAAAAAATCCCATAGTATTTTTCTATTAAAAGTTTATTTGCGTAGGATGTGTGGGTGGCTCAGTATATTAAGTATCTGCCTTCAACTCAGGTCATGATCTCAGGGTCCTGGGAATCAAGCCCTATGACTAGGTTCCCTGCTCAGCGGGAAGTCTGCTTCTCCCTCTTCCTCTCCCTCTGCCCCACTTTTGCTTGTGCTTTCTCTCTCTCTCTCAAATAAATAAAATCTTAAAAAAAAAAAAAAAAGTTTACTTGGGTAATAGCATACCCAATGAAATGAAAATACAGATGTATATAGGAATACTAACAAGTTGAAAGTTACACAAAATTACACATTTAATCAGAGTAGAACAGTCCAGGCAAAATTGGAACATACATAATTTGCTAATAAAAATGCAATGCTATAAGAATGCTTTGTAATTAAAGAAATGTTAAGGGAATACAAGTTCAGAATGAATGTTATATGACCATAATTGATATTAAATCTTGACTTACCTCCACAATTTAGGAGTCATAAAAAGAAGTCATCAGACCAGGCATGTAAGTCAGATGTAACTAGGAAAGAAACAGAAAAAAATGTTCCCAGTTCTACATAACCTTATTTGAAGTCCTAGGTTTATTGAACTTGAATTAGTCAAATGATTCAAAGGTTGAGGTGAAATGGTCTAAAAGATGCTGATATATCCAGAAGACATATTACTGATTAACATTTTAGGGTTCCTTAGATATCATTAAAATGGTATATATATTAAAAAATCAATTCAAGATGTAGAATAATGTGGAATTTCTGTCTGATGAAGGTGGCTGTTTTTCACAGCAAGTAGTAACTAGGTAAACAGAACAAGATACTTTGATACGCTAAGTAGAAATCCTACAACACACTGTTTAGCTCCTAGAAAAGCAAAATATTTTCTTTCAATTAAATTTTTTTCCCCTTTGGTCACTTTTAAATTCCTGGCTACAATTTACTGAATCCCTGTTGGATTTGTACTGGCTAACACCTTTTTTCAGAAGCAAACCTGATTTAGGGTGAGAAGAAAGTCACAGCCTCTTAGAACCTTCATTTCTACTTAACTGTGTTTCTCCATCAAAAACAAGTATTCATATAAGGAATCTCAGTTATCTAAACCTATTTTTGGCCATCTTCTGGAATTTCTTATATCTCCTTTGAAATGCCAAAACTGCACATTTGGAAAACTTGTCTTCCTGGTTTTCAAATTTCTGTTTATTATTATAGCTCTTCAGCCAGAATGCCAGGTCTTTGTGCTTTACTGTTTCTTGAAACTGGAGACCAGAACATTTCCCACAATTCAATTACCTGTCTTTCCATTTGAGAAATTAAAGCCATGTCAATTTTATAAAGTTTTAACTGACTCACTTATTTGAACTTTAAGTTCTCAGTTTCATTCCCTCAATCTAATACTGGGAAAGATCTCTGTTTTATTAATAGACATGAAGGTAAGGTTCAAGAATATTAACACACATTAGTTATTAATTCTCATAACTAATGTAAGTGTAGGGATTTTCTTACAGGCATAAGCTTGGAATATGACAGTTTTAGGCAAAAAGAGAGTTGATTTTTGGGAATGTTTATTTAAGATTATATACCTAATGAAATAATTTCTTTATGTAAATTTATGTGTTACATATTTCTTTTTAAAAGAAAGGGATTGGGGTGCCTGGGTAGCTCAGTCAGTAGAGTGTTAGACTTTTGATTTCAGCCAGGTCATGATCTCAGGGTTTTGAGATCAAGCCCTGAACGGGGCTCATGCTTGGTGGAGAGTCTTCTTGAGATTCTCTCTCTCTGCCGCTGCCCCCTGCTTGCACACTCACAAGTGCATGTGTGCTATTAAATCTTTTTTTATTTTATTTATTTATTTTTTTTAAAGATTTTATTTATTTATTTGACACAGAGAGAGATCACAAGCAGGCAGAGAGGCAGGCAGAGAGAGAGGAGGAAGCAGGCTCCCTGCTGAGCAGAGAGCCCGATGCGGGGCTCGATCCCAGGACCCTGAGATCATGACCTGAGCCGAAGGCAGCGGCTTAACCCACTGAGCCACCCAGGCGCCCCCTAAATCTTTTTTTAAAAAATATTTTATTTATCTGTCATAGAAAGAGAGAGGACAAGCAGGGGGAGGGGCAGGCAGAGGGAGAAACAGGCTTCTTGCTCATCAGGGGGCTGGATATGGTGCTGGATCCCAGGACCCTGGGATCATGACCTAAGCCAAAGGCAGATACTTGACCAATAGAGCCACCCAGGCGCCCCTAATAAATCTTTAAAAAGAAAAGAAAAAAAAAAAAAAAGAAATAAAAGAAAGGGATCTACTGTCCTTAATAGTTTCAGTTAGCTGATCTACTCTTACCAGCTTTATGAGGATAACTGATAAATTTACCTTTCAAGGTTGACTTTTACATAGAATTCCCCTTCTTTATATTCAGTGATCTTTAATTAAAGGATTTCAAATGGAATGCCTGGATATCATCTTAAATTCAGTATTACCAAAATGGGACACATCTATCTCACACTAGCTTCTCTTAAACTGTCCTCTTTCAGTGATACTGCTGTTGTCTTCCAGTATCAAAAACATACTTTTTGACACCATCCTTTTATCATGATGATGATTTACTCATGATGATGTTCTACAAATTTCTTTAAAATGTCTTAAATGTATTATTTCATCTCCATTCTCAGTGATATTATTCTGTTCAGGTTTTCTTTACTCTTAGATTACTACAACAGTTACACATGCCCAGTTTCTTTGCCACCGGAGTTTATATCTCAGAATCCTTCTATATATTATATAGTACTGCTATATTTAATTTCTAAAAATTCCATTACTTTGTCAACTTCCATTGTTTTGTTGGAAGAGGCCATAATGTCTCCCTATTCTATGCTATATCAAGACTGAAGTTCTCTAATTTTTTTTCTAGGCAATGGCCCATTTACGTAGTTTTAACCCAGTTATCCAAATTCATGTAACCTTCCTTTCAGGTCTTAAGGCAAAGGTTCCCAGTTCCTTTTTCAGGGAATATTGCACTTTCTTTTACCTTAAATTCTTATTCACAAACTAGGAAAGTCCACTATTTAACAGTTCAGTACATCTTAATTTATGGCATACAGGCCACAAATTATAAAATGAAGACAGTTTTTGAGTCAGTAGGGACAACGGTCTAATTCCCCTGTGCTTCCTCAAATTTACTTACAGTTTTGTGATGAGAGATCATCTGGTGTGGCATTTATTGCCCTTTGCTAGAGTGAGCTGTTGTCAGGCACTCTGCTCTATATGGACAATGTCTGTTTTCTGTTTTCAGTCTCAGTCCTTTCTCCACATGGTCTAGGTACACACGGAATAGTCAGTTCTCACCTTTGGAGGGGAGGCAGTGGTGGTATCAAAATACATGCCTAGAAACAGGTCATAAAGCAAATCAATAAAGGGGAAATTGCTTTGCCATATAAACCATTACTTAATTGCTGGTTGAAATTCTGGCTTTTGGTTAAATGTTAAATACAACAAGTCAACCACCCTCAAAGCTAAATCAAACTCAATAGCAACAACAGATCCTTCAAAAAAATGTAATTTACATATAGGTTTCTGAAAAAGACATAAATGTCATACAGATTTTATATAAAAGCTCTAAGGGTATATACAATAAATCCTTATCACATTATAAATACGATTTAAATGTCCTGGTGGAAAACAAATGCTAAATATTTGAGCCACAGTTTCATCTTAGATTTAAAAAAAATATTTTATTTATTCATTTGAGAGAAAAAGAGACAGAACACAAGCAGGGGGAGAGGCAGGGAGAGAGGGAGAAGCAGACTCCCCCCTGAGCAGGGAACCCAACACAGGAATCAGTCCCAGGACCTTGGGATCATGACCCAAGCTCAAGGCAGATACTTAGCCATCTGAGCAACCAAGCGCCCTAGTCTTAGATTTCTAAAAGCTTTCTCTGGGGTGCGCTTGGCTAACTCAGTTGGTAGAACATGAGACTCTTGATCCAGGGTCTGAGTTCAAGCCCCATGATGGGTGTAGTAGCGCTTAAAAAAAAAAAAAAAAAAAAAAAAGCTTTCATTGGTTTGATGTGGATAGTTACACACTGTCCAAGAAAATTAGAAAACTTATTTCACTCAATAAGGTGGTTCCAGTAAGCAGAGGGATTCAGAAGGATATAATTTACTTTAAAGACACACTTCAGGGGCGCCTGGGTGGCTCAGTGGGTTAAAGCCTCTGACTTCGGCTTAGGTCATGATCTCAGGGTCCTGGGATCCAGCCCCACATTGGGCTCTCTGCTCAGCAGGGAGCCTGCTTCCCTCTCTCTCTCTCTGTGCCTGCCTCTCTGCCTACTTGTGATCTCTGTTTGTCAAATAAATAAATAAAATCTTTAAAAAAAAAAAGACACACTTCAAAGAATTGCAGCAGGTGCTCAATACATTTGTTTTTTTATGATTATGGTAATTTTTTAATTATTTTAATTTAAGTATTTTATTTTAAGTATTTAAGTATTATTTTAAGTATTATTTAATTTAAGTATTTTTTGATGTAAGTACTTTCCATTCTATCATCTCCCATCTCCTCAGAGACATACAAATAAAGGCCAACAGAAAACAGTTATACTATACTTCATTGACAAGCTTTAGATTATCAATTAGATTACCAATGGCTCTCCAGAGGGATACTGAAATTTCAGGGGCCTTCTAACTGTTCATAAACCTACCCACAGGTTTTGGCTTTGATTAAAAAAATTTTTAAAGACAACATTTTAAGATCAATAAGAGTTGAGGCACGAGTGTTAGTAGGTTAACACAGAATCAAAGGAGCTTTGTAAACATAGTAAAAGATGAAGAACTTTTTATATTACCAGGAAGGAGCCTAGGCATTTCTGTATTTATCTAGCTGGTATTCAGCCTTTCCAGAATAAATTTATCGTAAAGATATTATTGCTGATTTTCAGCAACCAACTGCTATTCATCAAGCACCCACTATGTTAATTTTGTGGAGTATAAAATACAGAGTTAAGATAATCCATGTCCATAAAGCATGATATATTAATTGTTCTAAGTCAGGTATATGAATGAGCACAAAAGAGAGAAAAGGCATGTCCGGCTGAGGAGGAAAAAATGAACTGGGAAAATTTAATGCACAGAGTAGGTAGCCTGAGAAGATTTAGACAAGTGAAGATGAGGGAAATGACACTCTTGAGTAAACAACCTGAGCTAAGGCTTGGTTGCAAATTAGAGAGGAATTTGGAAAAGGAGTATTTCTATTTGGCTTAACAGTACTTTGGTATTAATTCACAATCATTCATAGCATAGCTTAATTCATAGCATTAATATTACTCTTATCTACAGGAAAAATATCCCTGGTAATAAAATATTGGCTATGAAATCCTTTCCTCTCAAGATTTCTCACTTGATTTGCTGAGTAAAAATCCACAGACTGCCTAATATTTAGGGTACACTTGTCTAATTTAATTCTAGATTTCCTTCCAATTGTGTTTTTTCCCCCCTTCAAGTCATCACATTTTGGCTCACAGGGTTGCAGGGAATTCAAATACTCTTGTTTTCTTCTATTAGAAATTAGGGCACCTTAGGCAAAAGAAAAGAATCTCAGGGGCACCTGGGCGGCTCAGTTGGTTAAGCATCTGCCTTTGGCTTGGGTCATGATCCTGGGGTCCTAGAATCGAGCTCCGCATCAGGCTCCCTGCTCAGTGGAGAGCCTGCTTCTCCCTCTCCGTCTGCCGCTCTGCCTACTTGTGCTATCTCTCTGTCAAAAAAATAGAATCTTCAACAAAAAAGGAATCTCAAACATGGTTGCATTCATTTCCCTATCTATTCCCCAATACCAATCTCTGTTTTTGATGTAGTATGTGTTATTCTTTCCTACTTGATGATGCACTGACTCATGTTTCTTATACTTGAAGTCTCTGATTTCTTCATTTCACTGAATTACTTCTACCTTTTCTTTAAGGCCAGGTCATCTCCCACCTAAGAAGTCTTCTTTGATGAGTCTAAGTCCACATTTTCTTTGAGATTCTACTGAACTTCGTCTGCATGACAGAATTTACACTACACTATTTTCTAGTTGTTTCTTATATGTTAATATATTATTTCCCTCTAGGCTATAAGTTCTTTGTTGACAGTGACAATCTTTTTAGGACTAGAGTGGGCATTGAATAGGCCCTTAAAAATTACTCAAAAAATGCAAACAAATTAAAAAAATTTTAAAGTAAACTCAGTGCCACATGTGGGGCTTGAACTTATGACTCCAAGATTAAGATTTGCATGCTGTACTGACTCAACCAGCTAGGCACCTCAACTTTTAAAAAATTTTAAAGTTGCATTTAGTAACTATTTTTTTTAAAGATTTCATTTATTTTTTTTACAGACAGAGATCACAAGTAGGCAGAGAGGCAGGCAGAGAGAGAGGAGGAAGCAGGCTCCCTGCGGAGCAGAGAGCCCGATGTGGGGCTCGATCCCAGGACCCTGGGATCATGACCTGAGCTGAAGGCAGAGGCCCTAACCCACTGAGCCACCCAGGCGCCCTAGTAACTATTTTTGATGACTTAAAATTATATTTATTCTCATGCACAGAATTTGAGGCCTCAAATTACAACCAACTCAGATTTTCACACTATCCAAAAATAGATTTGTGTATTAGTAAAACTGTCCCACTCTACCACATATACATAACCATGATCAAAACCAGTGGCCATTCTTGTAATCTAATCCCTTCTGATCCAATTTCTGATAGTAGGAGAAATATACAAGTACATGGCCTAGCTTATAAGCAACAGATTATAACGGAAAGTTTTATAATTCAAATCCTTTAGAATGTACATCTTTAAGTGTGTTGTCAAATCACGAATACCAATATAGTAATGTGCAGCTTGAAAATAAAGCGAAATTTTGCCTAGAGGAAACTGAAATTCTTCAAATCAACTCCTTAGTTAATCTGAATTAGTCTTTTGTACTATACCTCACAAAAAAACCTGTAATCAAATACCCTCTGGTATATATGGCTTAAAACACATTGAAGATAATTCTTAAAACTTCTATACCTATTATTACAGAATATTTTATATGACTTGATAATGATTCCTTACTCATAAAATTTAACAATATTAAGATAATATACTGAAATAGTGTAACTTTTTATGTTTTAGAAAATATTCAAACAAAAGTAGGGTAATCGTAAACTTCAGTTAACTAAATCATCTAGTACTCCATATTGTCCTATTAATTCAATTTAATGCTTTATCTGGTAAACTTTAAAAATTTTATTATTATTTTTCATTACAGTACAGCAAGTGCTTCTCCTTCTCTAAGTTCCAGGAGGGAATGTTTTTCTTTCTTTTATTTTTTTTTACTGTATCTCACAGTCAAGGTGTCAGTTTGACAAAGGGTAGGAGAAACAAATCTAACAACTTTTTCTACAATGGCAAAGTTAAACATAATTTCCCTTAATTCCCCAAATTCTAAGGTGATATTAAACTTTCCACACAAACCTACAAGATTTAACTTTTTTCCTTTGCTTTTGTAATATGTCAATATAAAGAATTATTTGCAGTGGGTATACTGGAGGCTGACTTTGTTTAGATTTTAAAAATATGGGACAAGACAGAGCCAAATTCAATCTCTTACAATTTTAAATGGAGGACTGGAGAGAGATAGCAACTTACATAAGGTGACATAACTAACACATAGTACCACAGCCAATTTTTAATTTGAATATGACCACACTTAACGTCTCTTGGATAGGAACAGTTTAAGCTTCTGTTTACATCGTCAATCCCCTGGCAAATTGTCCAAGCTACCCAAATACCTCTTTAGCATAATATTCACAAATATGAATTTATTCTACTGCATTACAACCTTTTGCTCTGCTTCATTTCATGGTCTTCTAAACCAGTGGGAAACTGAGCTTCTTTACATGCTGAACTGTTATAAGAATAAAATGGCATTTCGATGACATTGAAGAGACTGGTATAGGAGGCAAGTGCCTTTGAACAAAGTGACTTGTTAAATCAATGAATAGCTATACACACATTACTGAATGAGAATGAACTGATGGAAGTTTTAGTGTCTAAGACCTTAAAGATAAGGACAAAATCATAGAAAATAACCTGCAGATTTGCATGTCTAGAATCCTCAAAGTAATGTAATGAAAATTTTAATTTCTATTACCTGGTTTTCCACATTATTCCTAATTCTTATATGAATTCTTGAATGAATACCAATTCTAAGTTATTTCTTAAGGGATGCTTATATTATTTTCTATAGGAGCAAGTATCAGAACCAAAAGCATAGTCTAAAAAGAATTAATCTAAAAAATTCATTTTTCTATTTCCAAGAGACATTTCATCTTTTCAACCGTGAGAAACTAAATACAAAAATATTACTAAAAGTAAAAACTTTGAAAGTACAGAGAAGGTTCTAAAGTTATGATTTGTTGATAAAAGAATTCTAAAAATTCTGACTTACCTTTAAAAACCCCCATGAGAAATAACTCAGAATTATGCAATATTAATTAAATGCTTACTAGGTATCTACTATGTGAGATGTATTTTCAGCTTAATTTTTTAAAAAAAGATTTTATTTATTTACTTGACAGAGATCACAAGTAGGCAGAGAGACAGGCAGAGAGAGAGAAGAGGAAGCAGGCTCCCCGCTGAGCAGAGAGCCTGATGCGGGGC